AAAGAAACCAACAAAAAAAAAGTCTTTTCCAGAAAACTTTATAAAAAGAAAAAAAAAAAAAAAAAAAAAAAAAAAAAAAAAAAAAAAAAAAAAAAAAACACTAAACAAAACCGAGTCTAAAAAAGAAAGCAGTGCAGTCATTAGTTTATTCTTTCAAATTCAAACTCACCGTTGCAACAATTCTTCGAATAGCAGCTGACGCCATTTCCTCTCCTTTAGGTTGTCCCACCAGAGTCATGCCAAGGTACTTAACATTGAACACCATCCCCTCCAGCAGGGTCTCCTTTGTGTCCGTCCAGTTTTCTGGCAACTCTGATTGGACAAAATGACAGATCACCCGGAAATGAATCAGTCTTCTTGCAGAGCTTCGTAAGGGTTTTGATTGCAACCAAATAATGAAAGATGATTAACAAAATGTTGTCATCCATCTACAGTCAAAGACGTGTATTCATATCTTATAATACAAAGGATTAAACTGCATTTTTTAAAAACACAAAAGTCCAGTGGAAATTTATTTATCGAGTGCACACGATAATCAAACTACTCTCAAGGAGTTTATAAATAATCAATAATTATGCTATCAATTATTGGTTATTTAATCATTATGCAATTAGACAGGCATAATTGTCTGATGTACCCGTCTAATATATTAGACAATTTTTCAACAATTCCTTTCAATTTAAGGGGCTCTTTCAATCCCTTGCATTGAAACAATTTATCCCCCACCTCACAAAGCACTCAAATTTCCATTATTGGTCTAGTAAGTGTGTACAGTTGCATTTTAAACAAGTTTAGGAACTATTTATTACTTGTTTACAAAGTTAGTCTTTTTAATCAAAGTCCTGGACAATGGAACAGCATTATGACAACACAGTTAATCAACAGACCACTTCCAGACAGAAGACAGACCAAGCTGTGTAGCATGTAACCGTTTAAAATACAACAGTTGCATGCTGTTGTATCATGCCGTTGTAAAGTTCAATTAAGAACTTTTTGTTTTCTTTCCATATCTATGAATTCATTTTCATAGCACCCAAAAAAAAAAAAAAAAAAAAAAAAAAAAAGGGGAAAAGGGGCCCCCCCCCTAAAACGGTGGGCACGGGGTCCCGCG